CGTTCTGTTTCGTCTCAGCTTTCTTGTTATTAGGGCAATATATTTCTGCACATACGGCAATACGAAACGGTTGCTGAACGACCGGTGGACACCTAATACTGTGCCCGTGCACATGGCTTCGGCTGCGAGTGCAGGTTTGTGCCTTAATTGCCACGGACGAAATTGTAATCCTGTAGCAAAATTTTGCGGCATGGTGGTTCTTAACTTAACATAACTGTGTAACAGAATTTTATTTGCTCGACTAACATTCCGAAAGCATTAATATCACAGTTTTGTTCAACGGGCTTCATTGTATGCTAATTCAAGGATGAAACCAGCACTCATTCAGAATGAGATTCACATTTTAATGAGCGAAGATGCCGCCGAAGGACGTTTTCGGTTAGAATATGTACAGATTCCTCGTCAGGTGTAATAAACGACTAACAAACTGCAACATATACTGAGCGCAAGGTAACGTTTTATTCATATTCAGTTCAGTCAGGTCATATGGAACTGTTAAGAATTCGGGCCAAATACGGGACTGCCAACTTCCTGTGAACTTTTGTTTTCGCTGGCAGCCTAATGAACTTTGGCCGGCACTGAACGAACTCAGGGCATAGCGGATATTTCTATCTTCTTAATCTAAGGCTAGCAGTGCTTTAACGGCAGTTTAACCAGGATTTATTGTCTGGCCTATGGACTGTGTAGCGGATGCTGGGGTTTTTCATCACAGGCGAATCTTATTGTGCAGGTCTGGATTACCTTATCGTAGCATATCCCTGTGTTCTGGTACTTTTCTTAATTCAACATTACAGGATGTTAAAGTCACTAACAGCCAAAGGTCAGAAGAATGATAGTAAGGCGTACGTCGTGATTGCAATGTTGCAACAACGCGTTTCTACCATATCTTCGGAAATTTTGCCGGTTGACCCAGACAGTGGAAGAAAGATGAAGCTTTTATAAGGTTACTTACTATGTTCTTGACATTACCGCTTGAAATATAACCGTAAATTCAGTTGAAACATCATGCCACTTCCTGTGATAACGGTGCTAAGATTGGATCAAAAACAGGAGTAGATAATTGATTACTTGAGTATGCATAACAAATCTCATTAAATTGATGGGCATTTCAAAAAATAGCAAAGTTCTCAGCAAATAGCTATATTTGTCAATATTTAGGTTTTGTGACTTCAACGCTTTCAAACCCGATATGGATGGTTAAGACAAGGTTGCAATTGGACCATGGAGTTGGACAGCGGAAAATGAACGCCTGTGGTTGCGTTGCGCAAATTTACCAGGAATACGGATTGCGGGGATTTCTAAAGGCACGTTTAATCTCATATGCTTTATTTTGTCTTTTGTCCTTTACATATTCGTTCATCTCTTACCCTTTGGGGTCGCGGCAATCGACGCATCAAACAGTGTCTCAAACGTTACAAATCCTCTGTTGAGGATTTGAGCTTCGGCAGAAGACAACCGAAGTTTGGAGCCAGCATGTATTGAGATACTTACCCTAGGCCATTCTTAGCCGGCACCAGTCTTCGGCCGGCAAGATGAGCAAATAGTAACTGTTTCGCCTTCCTTTTTGAAAGCATGCGTAAGACGTGCTCAAACCATCGCCAAAGTTCAGTCTGGAGAAGCAGAGGCTGTATACCAGGGCTGTCGCGGATTTCTGTTCTCAGGATCACGTCGAGATGCGTAAGACTAGCGAGTCGTCTCAGAAATTCAATTTTAACCGCTTGTACTCGGGATTGCAGTTTTTCAGTCATGGTGCACGACTCATGACCGTAGGCAAGCATGAGGATGAAGATTAACTTGAACATAAATAGCTTACAGCGTTGCATGCCAACAACGAGGAGATTATCGGTTGATATCTCGAACACCCATTGCAAAGCGCCTTAATTCAGACGATAACGATTATTAAATCAATCATCGACTTCTGTGCAAAAGCTTTCCTGCACAATAAGTATACTGATGCATGCTTCGATGCACGAAGAAAGTGTTGATTATAGACAGTCCGTTGTTTCCGCAAAACCGCAATGACTTCACGCCATTGTTGATCAGGTCGCTACTGCCGTTTTATTTAATCTCACCTTTCCTGTTTTCAGTGTCTGCTTCGATATGTGCATTAAAACCGCTCATTAGAATGATGGGTTCGGTAATAATCACTTTATGAAGAGTTTCTTCTAGTTTATGACGGGCACACTGTTCCTCTGAATTGGGTGTTGAGGTCAAAACCTTAGCCTACTGTATCTTCAGTTGGATGACATACACTTGCGCTGACTGGCTTCAGCCAGGTTTGATTCTGCCGAACACCAACTCCATCTTGAGCTTATATCATACAGTCGACACCTGAGTATAATGACTTCGTCCCGCATAGGTTTAGAATTCCATAGCCCGGGTGCTTCTTTGACAAGTGACCATTTATGTCAATCCGTACCTTACGCGTTCATCACATTAATCTTGCTCTTACCATTTGAGTTGAGGAGATGTTTCTTTCCAATTTCCGATTATGAATTCCCACTGCCTGTATGGTTCTCATACAACCTTATCTCACGTGCTATAATGACATCGCTCTGCGTGGCTCCTCTCCTCAGAACGGATCAGTAGCATCTCCATTGCTGATAGTATCTTCGTCTTCTTGTCGATCTTCAGCAGCGGTCGCTGTGCAGATTGGCCGCCAGCTGCCAGAAGGAGGTGCTAATCGTAAACGTTTTGGTGTCTGCGCGGTGCTTGGTAATCCGGGCGAACACCGAACAGGTATAACAGTCGACATTGGTAAATCTACGAAAGGGGCTGGTGTTATCATGATCCGTCTGGGAATGTGGCAGCTGTATACCAAAGCTGTCTCGGTTATCTGTACTTCGAACCATGTGAAGATGCATGAGCCAACGATTCATCCCAGAAAGCCCATTTCAGCCTATATTAGGCAACGAAGATACAGCGAGCAAGTTTTCAGAATCAGTTTGGTCAAAATAGAGCGGGTTAGCTCGGGTAGAATGCTGCTAACCATTTCAATTCGTCGGTCGGCCTTTTCGTATGATTTTCCGTCACATTGCATGCAACCAACGAATATATAAATTTATCCACATGTTATAGCGCTTTTCCGATTATCTGCAAACCTCAGCGAGCGGAAGTTATCATTCCTTCCTTTATTGCATATGCGCTTTAGCCAGAGCGGCGGTTCAACGGTAGGGTAGGGTAGACGTTATTTTAAATATCACATCGAAGGCAATGAGATGGTTCAGAAATCTTTACGTGTTCGTCTAACTATTTTAGTCATCCTAAGCCGTACGAGAGCAGAATTGTGCACCATGACGGAATAGCATTTGATAGCGGCATACTGTTGTGTCGAATGTATGGAACTTGTCAAGAGATGGTTTTTTTATTCGCAAATTAAGGACCCTGGCTTATTAAAAGTAATTGACATGGCAAAGTTTTCAAAGCTCTTGTGGAGCATTTGGACATATATTTCATTTATACATCGTAGATATTGTCTTTATAGATAAGTTTCAGCAATTTGTACATAATTTTACTTTTTGTAATTTCACATTTCAACTGACATCTTTCGATCATTTACTGTGTATTGTTCTCGTGAAAAGTTTGTCTTCATTTAGGGTGTAACCGCGTCGTATGCGGGCATTTCAGAGACGATGATTCACTTCGTCACCTATGAGTATTTGAGGGACTGGTATTTACGGCGGAGCTTGCGGACATCGAATGACGTTTGCGGTTCAGACTTTGCTGTTCTAATGCTTTTTGGGGGAATAGCTCGAATGATCGCTACCGTTATCACATATCCTCATGGTATGATCAAATAAATTTTAATTAAATTCTAAAGGATGTATCTGAAAGATTCTTACAGATGCTTTGTACCCAATATATAATGAATTAATGTGCCTTTATTGGAAAATTATTTTGTGTTTATCTGAGTGGACTCTGCTTCAATAGCAGTTTAGTAACATGTCGGCAGAAAAGTCCATATTTTTAATATTGATGATACAGAAAGGTAAGGGATTTATGCATACCAGATTTTGGTATTCTTGAACGCGGACTGTGAATCTTGGCAGTCGTACTGGTTACACTTCTGACATCCTTCAGTTCATGGTACTTCTTTAAATCAGATTTCTTACGTTTTTCAATGGTTAGATCAGAATGACATGGCTTTCTCGATCGCTTATATTCCTGGGAAAATTCGATAAGATATCCTTGTATACCACAAAATATATTCTTGTAGCACAATTTAATATTGTTATTTAGTCAGGATGGTAAATGACTGTCGACATTTTGGTTTGTATGTAATGTCCTTTATCCAAGTTCAAATTGGCTGCTAGCAGTTGGTGATTTTGTTTAAATTGTGATTCAAGCTTTCTAGAAGTTTGATGAAACATGCAAGCGAAAGCATACCTTCCTGAGATATATATGTTGTGAATAATGGAATTTTAATTGGTGTCCGAACAGTTTGCCGTTTGGCTGAACACGGTGTTGCGGGTTTGCACCATTGCGCTGCAGTTGCTATAGCACTATAGCCATCTTAAATTACACCATATACCGCTAGAGCGAGGGGACACGGCGTTTGCTTGTCGAGTTGATTACCTTGCTTCGCTCGCATAAGCAGAAAGCCTCTGGTTTGTGGCGTCCACTCTATTCGCAACGTTTCAACAATTGCTGTAAAGCAGTGGCCACTGCATCGTAGAAATAACAATTCCTCCCTAAACTAAATCCAAAAGTGTGTAACGTACTTAATAAAAAGTCAAGCAAATTTTTGTCATTATTGCCAGCAAGCCATTCTTTACTGTTGTGCATGCCATACATACTGGTTGATTAGTTCTTTTTTACTGATAAATTTTATTCATTGTTTTGTTGTTTTCTGACAATGTAATGCATTACCGTTGTAATGTAACAGCGTGCTTTACAGAGCTTGCTCGAACGAGACTTCGGGAAAAGGGCAACAAATACACCGGTTTTTGCAACGTTCTCGTCCGTGTTTTTCACGAAGAGTCTTGGCGGGCGTGGTACAACGGCATGGGCATTCACCTAATCAAGACCATTCCGAACAGCGCCGTTCTGATGGTTACCTATGAACTGACCGTCTATCTGTTGAAGCAGTGACCACCGGTCGAATTGAACATCAGCGCGGGTACAGATGTCAGCACCACCTGTAGACCACGGTGTTCATCGCTCGACAGACAAACACAGCTGTGTGGGTTGCGCGCCATGTGACGGACTCTTGCGGCGACGACGAGTTTTCGTGTTGCTCTCACTAGTAAACACTTTTGTATGGGCTCTCGCAGACGCTATGTGATATTTGCTTACTTGCGTGCCCTGGTTACTTTTTTCTGTTGTATTTTTGTTCTAAGTCGTTCCTGGTGAACGGCTTAGAGCAGCACATTATATTTTTACTACGTCACGGTGGCTGGCTTTGCGAGTCTGCTACTGTATTACCGACCGCGATGTAGGCTCACAGCTAATGTAAAACCGTGGCTGCTCGTAGAAATCTTGCTGGGTATCGACTTTAGCCATAGATTTGATCTAAGCCATACTCATACCATTTACCGTGACGTTTGTAATCTACCTTATACTGCCTAGCGGCTTAGATTCCGGCCAAAGTTTTCTTAATAAAATTATTGAGCAATGGCTTGCATCCTTATTTCACGTTTCAAGTTTTGAACAGCAGCCGTGAATAGATGCGAAACCGCGTGTGCGAATCACTGATTCGACCATCAACTTCATCTAGAAAGATGATACTTTCGACGATGCCAGCACTAGCAAATGATGAGTATATACAGAAAATCATCAGTTCAAAGTTCAGTGTCCCTGTTAGAGAAAATTCAAGGGAGATACTCTATCTGTCGATTCACGCAGAGCATTGTATGCACATCTTTTTCATATCTCCTTCTACAATATCGAAAGAAGGTTGAACGGCCTAGTGGTCAACAGCGGGTATGAATACGTGTATGGTAGTAAAAATCTGGAACATGATCATCTTCCCTGACTCCTTTACTTTTCGGGTGGCGGAGGCAGATGTGTCAGACAGAGCTTCCAATCCGTTCCCGATCCTATGCCAGAGTCTGAAATTCCGCAGAAAACAGCTGGGCTATTGAACAGACTCCTTCCGAGCATTTGCACCAAGTTAATCTTGGCCATGCTCTGGACAATAAATAGTTGCTTCGCCTTCCTTTCTGGAGGCATTCGGAACACGCCCAAACCCTTCGCAGATGTGACTTCTCAGTCTGTAGAAGCAAAGGCTGTATACCAAGGCACTTCCGGATGTCAGTATTCCGGACCATGTCGAGATGCGTAGGGCCAGCGACTCGTCTAAGAAAGCCCATTTGAGCAGGTGTACCCGAGTTCGAAGATTTTCAGTCATCGTCCACGACTCAACCGTAGATAAGCATGGAGGTGAAGATCGACTTGAACACCAAGAGCTTTGTTTTCAGACTGAGCTCTGCTTTAGTCACAGTGGGTCGGGCTAGTTCACGCAGAACGCCACTGGCTATTCCAATTCGCCGGTCGATTTCTTCCTCAAATTTTCCCTCACTAGTAAATACAATTCTGAGGTACTTGTACTGCTCCACTTCCTCTCCGTTAATCTGAAGAGAGCACCGGGTAGAAGAAGGAGAAAGCACTAGGCTTTTCGATTTGCATGCTTTCGCCCTCTGCTGCGAACCTTTCCAACGAGCAGTGCATATGAGTTTCACAAGATGCTAATATAACAAGCTCATTTGCAAGCAGAAACCTCGTCTCCACCTCTCCGATATACTCATCGTCTTGGCTGCTCCTGACTGTTCTATTCATGTACAACAAACAAGAGAGAACAGGACGCAACCTTGGTCGACACTAGTGCCAACGTTGAAAAGCTTCGACTTATGGCATTTACTCTGACGCAGACCTGCTATCAGAATCCATTGATTGGATGGCTTGTAGCAGCTGGCCATCTATCGTATGGTCACAGGCATGACCACAGACTGTTGCGCGGGAGCCCGTCATACGCATTTTCTAGGTCAACAAAGCACATGTTAACCGGATGGGTGAACTGTCCAGAGTTTTCAACAATCTGGCGCAGGGCAAATAAATGGTCAAAGGTACTTCGACCGGGCCGGAGGCCACACTGCTCCTCTTGTATCTTGGTCAGTTATTTCGCGGCACCTTTTCGTAGACTTTACGTGGAAGGCTCAATAACGTAATGCCAGGAAAACTGGAGCTCTCCGAGTCGTCTCCCTTCTTGAATACGGCTACAACAACTCCCGTTCTCCAGCTGCTGTCTTCCACGTAGTCATCGCAGTTTGACAGATACGTGTAAGCCAGCACATACCTTGTTTGCATAATGCTTTGAGCATTTCAGAGTGGATTTCATCAATTTCAATAGCCTTTCCTTTTTTCAAGCTTTTCACAGCTTGTGAAATTTCGTTTGGAGAAATAGTAATATGCAGGCGGGTCTTCCTGCTGTTTCTCGGGGTTAAGGAGTTCCTCAAAGTACTCCTTCCATTGCCGAAGAATGTCATCATTCTTGGTAAGAGGGTGTCCAGATCTGTCCTTCAAGACTCTGAGACTGCCCGT